TTATACACAAGGTGATTGAGAAGACAATGGAAAACTTTTGGTTTCCTGAAGGACATGATCGATTATGTAGGCATTTCTCCAAGGATGATTTTACCACAGCATGGCAAAAACTAAAAGTAGGTATCACTGCTGGTTGCACAATTTCTGTCATCCTCTTTGTACTTATGATGGAATTGATATTAAGGTCATCTGAAGGAGAAACTGTGATAAAACCATCATTAAAAGCCTTCAGGGATGACATTAAAGTGCTGGCAAACTAATTCAGTGAGGAAAGTTTTGGAAAGACTTGATAATATTATCAAATGGTCGTGAATGAAATTCAAAGCCAAAAGTTCAAGTTGTACGATTATAAGTGGAAAGCAGAAGTAGGCAAGGTTCAAGATAGCAAGAGACAACATCCTAACAATAAAAAAAGAAGCTTGTGAAAAGCCTTGGTTGGTGGTACAAAAGTGACTTGAATGACAGACATAAAGGAGTTGAGGTTTACCAATAAGATCAGGAAGGAGTGAAAGCAAGTGAGAAATTCAAGATATGGTGTCTACAATGTGGCCTGTACCCTAGGTTAGTATGGCCTCTTACAATGTATGAGGTAACTGCAACTAGAGTTGAACATATCAAGCAGCAATGTTCAGTATACATTAGAAGGTTGGTTGGGTCTTCCAAAGCATATAAACATCACAGCTATGGGAAAATGGTTCAACTGAAACTCCCTATCACAGAATACAAAGCAAGAAAATTTTGTACAGTAATGATGTGATGTTCAAATGATTGAGATCCATAACAATCCTCCACAAGTAAAAACTCATAAAAAGTAGAAAGCAGTAGAAGCAGTTAATAGTACTATTTGCAACCTCAAACACAGGGATATAGTAAGCGCAGTTCAAGAAGGTAAAAGTGGGTTAAGCACCGGAAAGTTTGCATCATTTTTCAATAGTACCAACATGCAGAAAAATGAGTTGCAGTGGTAACAGAAACCAGGCAGGTGAAGTAGGAAAAGAGATGCCTTCACTTGGTACATCAAGGACAGCATTTGAACATGGTACTCTAAGACATATTCTTTCTGTCTGTCCATTGGGTCTGAAAGAAAGATACATGTGGCAACATAATCATGTCTTGAAGGGGTTTTACCTTTTCTTCAGGAAGAAGATTGATGATATCAATGAAAGAAAGGGACTTACCAATGTGACAGAGAGATAGAGAGAGTCTGGGAAACACACACACACACACACGTATATTTTTTTTTAGTGAAATTGGAGTAGATTTGTATAGCGAAATTAAATCAGAGCATTTTGTTTAGTGATGTGGAAATCTGATCTAGGGCAGAAGTTGTACCCATTGAATCTGGGTTATCAGAAGACAATGGAAATGTTCAAAATAATTTTCATCAATTAAAAATTGAAATAGAGCTGAGTAAGCTAGAAGGAACTTTGGAATTCACATGATTTTGGTTGAAGCAGCCAGAACCCCCATGATAATCGTGTGTGAAGCAGCCTGGTTTATCTACATAAATGCGTAGTTATGCTGAAAAAGCCAGATGGGAGAAAATTCTTGAAGAGAGAATTTGGGGGGGGTAAGAAAGTTTGTGACAATATTCCTGTATATAAAATCTGAAGTTTTATTAAATAATGAAATTTTTTTTTTTTTTTTTTTAAATAAACGTCATAGGTGAACCCTTTTTACAAAAAAAATTAAGAAAATGAAGTTTTTTTTACCTTTCCAAGCACATAATTTCTTTACGACATAACTTAAATGCGCAGTAATTTTAGACAAGTAAGATCAGTTAAGAGCAGTAAAAAGGCCATTAATTAAGCTTCTGCGCGCAAAATGGTTCGCACTGAATGTAGTTAAACAAGGACAGTAATGGCTGACGGCTGAATGTGACTGAGTTCGAACTTTTATTGTTGATAACTCCAAAACAGTAGGTTTAATCAAAATTTAATTGTTATTTCGAGTTCAATCTGTACATTTGCACGGAAATATGACGATTTGGGAAAATTTTAGTGCAGGGCTTAAAAAGCAAATTTACCTTTTTTTTTTTTTTAAATTGCCGGATTTTAAAGAAACTTTCATGACACAATTTTTTAAAAAATCGTTGAGAAAAAAAAAAAAAAAGTGGAGAGAATTCATTTTTTTTGGTAAATTTTCATTTTAACGCCCGAGTGCTAATATCCCTTCAAATTTTTCCCAAATAGTCTTATTTCCGTGCAAATGTATATGCTGAACTCAAATCAACAATTAGATATTGAAGAAACCTACCTTTTTGGATGTTAAAGACCCGAAAAAAAATCGGACTTTTTCCTGGTCTTCTATCAGCCATTAGCGGCTTATTGATATGTAATTCAGTGCTGAAATCTGTCGGTGGACGTATACAATTTGGGCATAATTACCCCCTTCACAGTAATTCCTTGTAGTTAACTTTCAAATTAGGGTTAGGTGTTTTTTATGGTTATTCTTTTTTTTTTAAAGAATAAAGTTAACTTTCAAATTAGGGTTAGGTGTTTTTTTTTCTTTTGTTATTCTTTTATTTGTCGACGTTTACATATATTTGAAAATTAACTTTATTCGTAAATTATGTACCAAAAAAATAAAATCGCTTTACGTAAACGCGTACTAATTTCTGAAAGAAAATGGTTCAGCAGTAACTGATGCTCGGGTGTTAAAATGAAAATTTACCTTTTTTTTATATATGTACTTTCAGACACGCAATTTTGATTTTATTTTTCGTTTTTTTCCATTTTTTTACTGCTATTGGAATCGCGCATTCATTTTAAACTTCGCGCATTGCGCATTAATCAAAAGAAGAGAAGCTTCCGCGCCGCATGATTACTCGAGGCAAACGTATGTAAACAAAGCTAGTAATGGCGGTTGTTCTGTCGACACTACGCGAAAGAATTCGAACTTACAATGTCCATAACTATTAAAACGGTAATAAAGCGCAAAATTTTAATGTCATTTTCGAAATAATCAGGCAACATCACACCATAATGGAACATTTTCATTACCGTCGGCTTTTAGAGCTTATACTGCAAATTAACCATAAAATAATTTTTTTAAAAATAGAATAAGGGGGGGGGAATTACACTCGAAAAGTGATTTAAACTTTACATTTTAATCTTCAAAAATGTCCAATTCTTTCTTTCTTGTAACGTACAGCAACGGAATGAATTTCAAATAAATCGCACTGAATATTATTTTTTAAATAAATATTTCATTTTTTTTCTATGTTTCTGTCTTGTTTTATTAAAAAATTATGCAAGCATAAATTTTCACGAAGAATTATTGGAGTTTTACAGAAATTATTTTTTATAAGAAATGCAGGACGAATTTTCCATCTAAACAAACAATAACATTTGATCGCTTATTTTTTACTGAAATAATAAGCAGGGATTTCTTTTTATAACTAAAAAAAAAAATGAAATATGATTATAGTATTATAACAATTGTCCTATCAAAATAAAAAAAATGCCAGATTCTTCCTCAATTGCAAGGTTTTTAGAATAAGTAATAAACTAAAATTTGACAGCTATATTATTTCTTCCTTACAAAAAAAAATTTAAACATACAAATTCAAACTTTCAAAAAAGGTAAATAAATAAAATTCCAAATAAAAAGCGATGGTCATTTAACAGTTTTACTTTTAGAATAAAAATGAAATATGTAGAGAATGAAATTAATGTTTTAAAAGAAAACTAATTTCTCACCTTTTTAGACACCCGCTTCCTATGAGAATCCATTTCCTCTGTTTTTGTACATTTCAAAACCACCGCGCTGGAAATAAAGGTAAAATCTAAACTTAGAAAAAATAGATTTTTATATAAACTCGGAAGAAAAAATTAAAAAAAATAAAATTTTATAAATTATTTTCTGCACAATTTTTAAAAATACTAAAAAAAAAAAAAATCTACATAAATAATGTTACGTAACTAAAATAATTTCGTATACAGCACTTACTTACGATTTTTACTAATAATCACTTCATAAAATTAAGTAATTTTTTTTACATTACTAAATATTATATTTATAATTAAATTATATTTTTGTGGTTTTATTTTAAAATTTTATATTTAAAATACGAAGCTAAAGCTTATAGTTTGTTGCTTACTCAAGTTAGAAAGAAAATGGAGTCTTCATGGAATGAGATTGCAGTTGTTAGAAGAGAAAATCGCCATGAACTTTCGCTAAAAGGTTCAGAGATAAGTGCTAGGATATCAAAGATTGGATTAAGTCCTGAAATATTCACTCTTAGTGGCTTAAATCATCTGGAGATATCTTCAACGTGTTTAAATAATGTAGACGTTGGTGATTTTGGAAATCTATTTAATCTATCTAGTCTCATACTGTGTAGCAATAAGATCTGCTCTATGCCGAAATCTCTCGGTAAATTAAGTAAACTGAAAGTTTTAGATCTATCAAATAACGAATTAATTTCCCTACCCGAAGAAATTTGTACTCTTGTGAGCTTAGAGGTTTTTAATGTTAACAAAAATTTGTTGGCAACTATGCCCCCAGTTTCTGGTCTCGTAAAACTACACAAGTTAAATATATCTCACAATAAATTAAAAAATCTGCCAGACGGAATATGCGATCCTAAATTAGCACATTTGAGTCACATTCTCGCTAGCAATAACCACATTGAACAAATGCCTGCAGAGCTCTCAAATCTGCCTCATTTGAACGTCTTAGATATGTCTGAGAACCAGATGGTTGACATACCACCTGAATTGTGCCAATGTGCCCGACTTAAAGAATTGAATTTGAAAGGAAATAATATCCAAAATAAGAAACTTGGCAAGATATTGGAGCAATCTTCCAAGAAGAGCATCTTTGACTTTCTTAGTAACCTTCTAGAAAAACAGCAAAAGTCTGAGGGGTCATCCCGTGGAAATAGATCTGGAAAGAACAAGAAGAAATCTCGTTTAGGTAAAAACGAAACTGATGAACTTGGCGAAGATTTGGTGAAATGTAAAATCAACGTGTCACATTTCCGTGGTGAAAATAGAATGTCCATTATCGTCACGCCAGCTGTACTGAACATTAGGCCTTATATTGTTTGCTGTTTAGTAAAAAATCTGAATTTTAATAAAAACAATGCCTTTAAGAAATTCATCGCATTGCAAGTAAGTCATCTTTTATTTTTTTAATGAAAAAATGATTGCCTTTCTTTGTCTTATGAATGTGAGAGTCGCAAATTATAGACTTCATCAGCTTCGCCGGTTCTTTTTTCAAACTATACCTCATTCGTCTGTGGTAAGACATAGAGGTACCAATATAGCATGTATTTTTTTTTTTAAATATTCACTTGAAAAAATGGTGATACTTCATTTTTGTGTCGAGAATTTGGTTGTGCAAATAAAAATCTAACTTTTACTCTGAACTTGAAGCATTCGTCAGTAATGGAATGATGAATAAAGCACAAGTTTTGTTGACTTTGAGTCAAAATTATTCCCAATATTCTTTTGAAGTTCATAATTTTTAGTAAACGTCATTGTGTAAAAGAAAGATTTAAAAAAATAAGGTTATTCGGTTAAGCTAAAAAAAAAAAAGAATTTTCTATGCAAGTGATGTAATTCATTTTTCTCTTTATGAACATTTTTTTTTATTTCTAGACTTTAGTTTTAAAATAGAATCTGAAATAAGAGTTTCGATTTAATTTTTTTTTTTTTTTTTTTTTTCCGCATAATTCAAATTTGAACCCTACTGTGTGCAACATAGAATATTCAGTTTACAAAACTTTACAATTTGTTTGTCAACATTCATTGTGAACAAAAGTAACCAGTCACTCTACCTACAGTTGGAGTTAAATTAACAAGTACTACTGAATGCAAAAGCAAAAAAACTTCTTTTTAATTGCACCTTTATTCTTTTATGGAACGAGAAAAAGAAGAGATCTTGTTTAGAATAGAACCCTCACTTTAGATTTTATTTTTAGAGAGTCATAGTCATATCGCTCGCCTCTACTACCACCACTTGATTTTCTTAAAATTATTTTAATTTATGTAATTCTAGAAAATTTACTAAAAAAAACTTTATCGTAGTTAAACCCTTAGAAAACACCAAAACCAAGTCTGGGAATAGCGATTATGTACAGAACCAGCTTCATTATTGAGGAAGAGTGGCATCCCCCAAAGTGACGAAGCCCAATAATTATGAGACCCACCCTGTTTAAGCCTTAAACTAAACAGGGTGGGTCTCATGTGCCCGGTATACCTTAAACTTTAAGGTATACCGGGCACATGCCTCACGGCCAAATGTGTACTACAATATGGTGACAGGTTTTGATAAAAGTAAAAGGGCCCAACCTTCAGGTAGGTGACCCAGTCTGCTCAAATGGTCTCCGATTATTGTTGAGAATGTTCGTAAGTAGGGGTGATGTACTTTTTGCCCCCCAATCTTCAACATCGCACATTAAAATTTTCAGTATGACATTTTAAATTGAACATTTGGAAACTAGTATTATATTTGCAATCAATGAAATTAACATCAATAAATGAATAATTGATTTCAATTTAAATACAATTTCAAGTTCTAAGGAGGTAAATCTGTGACGATTTGATGTTTAATAAAGTGCAGAATTTTGGATCTTTGAGTCGTAATTATGATCTACTATTATTTTTTTTATTTTCCGTACAAAGATTGACCTTTTTTCCTTTGCTTTTTAACACTATTTTCCAGTTTCAATTTCAATGTCATATAATGAAAATTTTAATGTACGAGAAGTAAGTATATTATGTTTTTAAGGCTGACGGGGTGCAAAAACAAAAGTATGATGGCGACGATTTAGTACTGTAACCAATTAAAACTTTCCATTTATTTCTGCATTTTTTCTTTTATTTTAGTAACAACAATTCCATCGGTACAATATAGACTATAGAGGATTGCTTATTTAGGCCTTCACTCAATCACGTATGGGTAGGCACATATTTCCCAGTCCCTTGCGGTTCCAACCTCTTCAATCTTTTGCAACATGAGGTGCTGTAACCTGGGAGGAATCTCCAGAGACAAGACATTTCTATTTTTGTACTCTGTCCTGTGACAAGATAGTTGATGTATGAGATATGGATGTAAAATTTAAACTAAAGGGAGATAACTAGGAAATAAACATACTCGTCCCAATGGAATTCAATTTTTACTCTTACAGTTCAAAAATAGAAATATTAAACAAATAATTCTAATGGAATTACGAGTTTTATTGATTCGCCTCCTAGCCACTGGCCATTTAATTAAAAAAAAAAAAAAAAACGTTTCAATTATTGCATTTCAAACATGTCATGTTTAAATGAAAAAGTTGATCAAAAAAAATTTAAAAACGTCTAGAATCGGAGGTATAATATGAGTTAAAATTTATGTCGTTTATTGTTTTTAATCTATTTTCAAATATATTTTTTTAGGAATATATATTCAAATATTTCCATTCATATGGATGCTTGTTGGTTGCTTTTTCTCTAAGAAAATGCTTTAGAGATGAAGCCAGTTATTCTTTATTAAGTATGAACTAAAGATTCATGTAAATCAAACAAAATTATTTTCATTGTTGTGTAGAAACTTTGTTCACTTACCTTATTGAAACTCTTGTCAAGAGAGAGAAATGAGGAAATTCAACTGTCATCTTGTGACAAAAATAAAATGAAAGGATATTTATTTTGTAAAATTACAAAATTGTGGCACAAGACCGAAGGGGAAGGCTGGTCCTCAGTAACTAACCTAGTCCTAGTTAATCACAATAATGCTCTATTCATTCAATACAGTATACTCAATCACCATAAGAATTTATCCATCATCTCCCAATCCTACATGTACCACAATGCCACATATTCACAAGGGAGCTACAAAACACTCCAGGATGTAAAATAATAAGAGTGGCTACTGTATTCTGCTGATAGACAGAATCAAGAGGCACACTCAATAATGGAGTGGAAAGGAAAAATTAAATGTTGGAGTGGGAAAAACCAAGTCTGACCAATCCTAGATCCAAAAGGGGACAAAAACAAACTGGGTGGTTTAGGAATGTCATCAGGGATCATAACAAAAGAGAACGCTGGGAACAACACTTATTCACATTAACTAGGAAAATAAATAGTCTCTAACTTAAGCAGAGGAAGTTTTCACAGGAAACCACGCCGTTGCATTAAGGGAGCTTAAAAGAGAAAATCAAGGCTAGCCCCGTTAACACGAATCATGCTTGCCACAGATACCCACCTTTCACTGAAATCTGTTGATATCAAATACTTTCTATCAGATCTGATCTTCATCCTGAGCTGATGCCCAAAGAAACCAATCAGATCCTGATGAGTATAACGCTCATATCACAAGATCCCCTCTATTCGCAACATTCTTGCCATGGCTAGCAACATGAGAAACACCATCCATTTCACCCTGGAGAACAGGCAACACATTGTCACACATGTCCACAAGATTGATGGGCACAAGCTGATTGGAAGTGATATGACTGATGACAATGGTAGGTGTACAAAGCCATTTCTTCTAAGCCAAGGTCACACTGATGACAGTCAGACAAATCTGCCCTGCCCTGCCCCAACTGAAGGTTATGTCGTTGAGAGATAACACATTCTGAATCAATCACCATGTAAGCAAAAACTCAGGATTGCTGAGATAATCTGCCGTTGGCACCCAAGACCAGAAAGAGCACAACTCTGATGCCAACAATCCAAGCCAGCCATAAAGCAGACCTTTCGTACCCCCTTCCACTAATTCATGATGAAAATAACATGAAAAAATATTATTTCATCTTTACAGAAAATTAATAGAAATGAGTTCGTCGACCCCAACAGATTGAAGGGGAGTCAAAATTTGTATATGTGTTTGGAGAGATAAAAAAAAATGCTAAAATAGTTAGCCAAATGTAGTATTTTTTCTTCCTTTTGCTCTCTCTCTTTTGAAGCTAACTGGACATGTTACCAAAACTGTTAATAAGAGTCCTAACTCTTTATTTTCTATCATTACTTCTACAAGAAGAATTACTTATAGGCAACATATAGTGTTTAATTGGTGCAATTTGACATAAATGATTGCCACCACAAGATTACACCAGTTACAAGTAAGAATTTGTTATCATTTCTTTCTTTCTGCACTAAGTTTCACTTCAAATGCTAATAGCTGCCATTATAGTTTTTCTGCCTTCCCTTTCCCATAACAGTCAAACTTAAAATATTGACGGTTGATGAAGCACTCAGCTGCAGTTATATTTTCTTTTTATGATCAATGTTTCATTAATTTCCACTGTTTTGTCTAAACCTTCAATTTTATCGCCAATGTTTTGTTTCCGTGAAATAGCAGCACACATCCCTACAAAATCTGAACCAATCGACTACTGTTTGCTTCAAATAACTGTAGTTACTTTTAAAATAAAATTACTCAGGGTATCTTTTTTTAGCCAATAAGTGTATTAACAAAATTACTTTCATTTTTCACATGAGAATTATGGCCCTTGTTTTATGGCTCCTGATTCTAGAATTTTAATGTAAAAAAAAAAAAATGTACACTGTATATAAGTGTAGTCTATAGTGTATATTCGTTTTATGAACTTTATAATAGTCAAATAGAAGTTTTACATTAGATACCACCAAAGTGGATGTGTTTTTTGTTTTGTTTTTTCAGAAATGAATGCAAAAAATCACTTTCCTCTATTTTTAAAAAAAATCGGGGAATTATCTGGTTTAAACAAAATTTTCAATACATATTCATTAATGAATTGTATACTGAATAGGTTTTTTCTAATTTTAAAAAATAGTGGAAAATTTTGCTCATGCCAAATATTTTAAAATATATAAGTTCATCTTTTTTTTTTTCTAGACAAAATTTCATGACACCATTTGTGACAAGAGACAAGCAGCAACAATAGCTACACATGATATGAATCTTGTCAAATCTCCTCTGACTTATGATGCCAAAGTTCCTTCTCATATCAAGGTATGTTTGAAATATCTGACTTACTGTTACATTTACTGGCTTTACAATATATATACAAATTTATTTACACATAAACATGAATTGATAATTGTTTTCTCTTGCCAGGTTCTTCTCATTTTGGTTTAATTATAATTACTCCTATTCAGTCAGTCTCAATGCTAAATATTAACATAAAATAGTTTTTACTCACTTTTTAAAGCTTTAAAATTACTTGCTTTTTTTATTTATAAACAAAGGCAAAATTTTATATATAATCAGGAGATTTTAATTTGATTTCTTACCTGTAATCGTTCTGTAATAAATTTTTTTTCCAGATTACTCCTTTATTTGCAAAGGAGGAACTGACAGCCCAATCACTAGTAGCTAATTTAAGGAGAGAAGCTGATGAGATTCGTAAAGAAAAGAAGAGGAATAAACTCAGTGGGATCCACAAGTATGTATTTATTTGTAAATGTGTGTGTTTGTATATATATTTATATATTCCTAATTATATTTTTGTTCAAGTTATTTATGTGCTTTTTTTAATTCTTTGTCTAAAAGTAGGCTCCCAGTGGTAATTTCTAAAAATAACATATATATATATATATATATATATATATATATATATATGGTAGTAAAAACTTCCAGTACAATTAAGGTAGGTAAATTAAGAGAAATGATTCATAGATAACTAAAAAATTTAAATCTTAAGGTTAAGATAAGTACTAATGTTAAACAATTAGATTTTCTTGATGTTACATTAGATCTCGTTAATGATGTATTTCAACCTTATGCAAAAAATAATGCCAACCAAATTTATATTCACCCCCAATTCTAACCACCCTCCATCTGTAATCAAACATATATCTCCATCTGTAGAATGTAGGATTAGCAACCATTCATCGGACAAAGATGTGTTTGATAGATATAGTGGTGTTTATAATAAAGTTTTAAAGAATGGCATTTGCAAGTACGCTGAAATCAAGCTTGAAAAATATGATGATAGGGGTCCAAAGAAAAGAAATAGAAAGATCATTTGGTGCACACCCCCACTTTACCAATTGGTCAGTACTAAGTTAGGCCAGAAGTTCCTCCATTTGATTGATACACATTTTCCTAAAAGTAACCCTCTTAGTAAAACATTTAAAAGAAACACATTAAAACTAAGTTATAGCTGCACCAATAATCTTGAAGATTATAAAGTTACACAATAATAAAATTTTAAACCAATTTAATAATCTGGATCATAATTCAACTTTCAAAGAAAATATTAGTGATATTGGCCAATGTGATTGTAAGAATTCTAACCATTGCCAAACAAATGTATAACTAAATCTTTTATTTATCTTTGTACTATCTCTACCATAGAGAATATGACAGTTGAAAAATTCTATATTGGTAATACTAAGAATTCTTTCAAGACTAGGTGGTATGAACATGTATTGTCTTTTACTAATAATATTTATAGAAATAATACATCACTTTTTAAATATTTTTGGAGTTTGAAAGATGATAAAACTCCTAAGGTGAAATATAAAATTTTAAAAACGGGAAGGACATGTAGATCTTTATATGACCCTGTTTTTGTGCTGACATGAAAAATTGGAAATTATCAGATTTAATAAAAATTCCTTATTAAATCAAAGAAATGAATTAACAGTAAATTGTAAACAGTTTACCTTTTATTTTACAATTTAGTTAAACTTTGGAATTTGATTATGCTTTTTCTTATATTTTAGTTGTACTTTGTACTGTGCTGCACCATATATGGCTTATCTTTCTATTTGTAAGATTAATTTGGATTTAATATAATTTGTATTAATCTCTTGGTAGCATTAGTAACATCTTGTATGAACGTATTAGTATTTGGTTGGTATTTTTGACATTTTACATTGATCAGTTAGTGTTATTAACATCTTATATGAAGAATCTTTATTTGACAGTTGCATAATAATTCTATACGTTTAAATTTACTTTTTTTTTTTTTTTTAAAGAAGACATTTATTTATCAAGTACAAAAATTTTTTTATGTAAGAAATTCACAAAGCATATAACATGTTTAGCATTTACTTAAATTATCTCTCCCTCCCATCCTTTTTATTTCTTAGGAAAATGGATTGTCTGGTTTGTATATTTTATGTAACCATATGTATGTGCTTTAAGTTAATGTCTGGCTGCTGTTAGGTGCCAATCTACAGGTCATGACCCATTTATATAAAAAATAATTTTTAATTTTTGCTTCCTTGCTTAGTTTAAATTTAATGTAGATCATATTGGTTGATCAGGGTAAAGTGCTCAAGCCTTATAACTCTGCTTCTTTTTTTTTTTTTTTTTTGCTTTTTTTTTTTTCTAAAAATCCAAATCATTCATTTGCCAGTAAGTTATAATTGCCTGATGAGGCGCATTGATAAGCATTGAAACAAGACTGCAATGGTGTAGCAATTTTACATGTTTTCAGTGTAATACCCTAAAATAAATAATATTGCTCTACTTTGTATTGAGCCCTTTTCTTAAAATTAAATGTTATGAGCATTGGAATTGTACTCTATTCATTCTCAACGTACCTGGAGATGTTTTATATATATATAAAATCTCATTCAGTTTTAATTAATGTGGTTTCCTTCACTGGAGATTGTGGTGATGGAGAAAAGAAAATCTTCACTCGAAAAAGAAAATCAAGATCAGGTTTACTTGAGCAAAGTATGGTAATTTTTGCACCTCCCTTACAGCCTGGACCAATCACAACATTTCTTACCCCAATAAAAGGACACTACTTTGGACAAGAGCCATATTCAGAACCTTTTTATGGGTGAATTTGACAGTTGTATATTGATTTTTGGCTCCTTTTTGATTTACACCACATAACTTCAGGCACTTCTGGAAGTTCACTTTCATGTTTCTAATATAGGGTATTGTCCTCTCCGCCAAACTTGCAAACCAAGTATTCTTGTGCTGTTCTCCAACTGCTTCTGGTCTTTGCATGTCAGTCCATAATCAGCAAGATGAAATAAAAATAAGTAACTTTTTCAGTATATTCTGCTCTTTTTACTTTGAGTAGGTACTGTTAATGTTTGATGAGGTCAAGAGTGGTTTGTAAAGATTCACAATGCTCTCCATGTGAGGTAGATAGTGATCAGATGAAGATATTACTTGAGAATTATCAATGTTATATGATTTAGAATTTTGCTAACACCCTCTAAATATCCAAATCAATAACTGAAAATCATTTGTACCAATTAGGTTAGTCACTTTGTCATCTAGCTGTTGCAAGTTCAGTTCTTGGGTCATGTCATGAACAAACAAGAAACATTATGGGGACAACAAAAAAAATAATGAACACATAAGATTTTTTATATCAGCTAAAATAATGATCACCTGATGATGGCCAGTGAGCAGTTAGCTGAAACATTATCTATAATGAGGACAAGAAGAATAGTTAGAATAAATCAAAGAAAAATTGTTTATTTTTTTCCCCATTAAAATACTTTGTAGTACCTGGATAAAATTAACCTTCAAATAGAAATTTGTCAAAATATATTCAGTAATTTTTTTTTTTTTTTTTTTTTTTTTCACACATCTGGACTGTTGACTAAATTTTTTATCACAGTGTTTCAGTCATTATGCCTTTCGGCCTTCTTCAGGTACCTCTTGATCCATCTAACTTTAGGGAATTTTAAGCTGAACCCCTTATTTAATCTACATGGGTATATTGTTTTTGTTCTGCTGTCCATGTCTGAGATCTTATTGTTTAATATTGCTCATTTACTCTTTGCCCTGTTTTGGGGTCTCTCTACAATGTTTTGATAGTAACAACAAAGATGAGGGTATTATTCTGTCTAAATAACATCATCTCAGAAATTCAGACAGAAAATTTTTTATACACGAACTGTAATATTTTTATCTTTAGACTTTAATACAGTTGCAAATTTATTTTTTTTATTATTCGGGGATGAATATGCAACTTAGAAAAAACAGGAATGTTTAACTGAAATAATATATTAAGACACTTTTTCTTTTCATCTTTTTTCTTCATTTATCTTAATTTCTGTAAATATAAATTATCTTCAAATTTATGTATACCAAATGGTTTTATTTTCTTCATTTTCAGATATCTTGATCTTCTTCATGAGAAACCTGAGTATCCTTGCTTGGTGGACAAAGAAGGTTGTGTCATCTCTTTTCCTCCTATCACAAACAGTGACAAAACAAAAGTAAGTTTTTTTGTGTGTGTATGTTGAGGATCTTTGTATTTTTTGTGTGTGTGTGTATGTTGAGGATCTTTGTATTTTTTTTGTGTGTGTGTATGTTGAGGATCTTTGTATTTTTTTTGTGTGTGTGTATGTTGAGGATCTTTGTATTTTTTTTGTGTGTGTGTATGTTGAGGATCTTTGTATTTTTTTGTGTGTGTATGTTGAGGATCTTTGTATTTTTTTTTTGTGTGTGTGTATGTTGAGGATCTTTGTATTTTTTTTTTGTGTGTGTATATTGAGGATTTTGGATCTTGTATGTTTTTTTTTTTTTGTGTGTGTGTATGTTGAGGATCTTTGTATTTTTTTTGTGTGTGTGTATGTTGAGGATCTTTGTATTTTTTTTGTGTGTGTGTATGTTGAGGATCTTTGTATTTTTTTGTGTGTGTGTGTGTGTGTATGTTGAGGATCTTTGTAATTTTGTGTGTGTGTGTGTGTCTGTCGAGGGGTCTTTGTAATTTTGTTTGTGTGTGTATGTTTATCCAAACAAGAACTATTGAATATTTTCTCTTAGTAAGACTTTGTAGGATTTAATCTGTTCTTTATAGCTTATTTTCTTTATTGGAATTTGTAATTATTTACAGAAGTTGCATTTTTTATAAATGTCACCTTGCTCAGTAACACATTTGACTTTGTCACAAGTAAACAAGATCTTAGTTTATGTAAAACTCGGTATTTTAAAATGCTGAAGTTTTTGTTGCTCCTATTATAAAGGTAATCAGCGAGTGGTTAACTCTACAGTCTTCTATCCCAGGAACTATATATTAATTCTATAAAAACTTATAAATAATTACCAAAATTTAGTGATTTTTTTTTTCCTAATTGCTATTCTTAATACCATACAAAAACTTGAATATAGATTTCAATTGTTCTTTCCAACAAAAACTTCTTACAGGTAATTTAACAGTGAAACACAGAGCATAGATAAACATGTACAAGGCCAAACAAAATTTGGCAGATTATACTGCACTTCCATGTAGCTCACTTGTGTAAGTAGAAATATGCAACGCCTTCAACCACCAAATAGGCCAACTGTCAGAATGTATCTATCATTGAACATTAGTAATATCATGCTTTCCTATACTTTAAGAATTACAAAAGCATTTCAAAATGTGTTACCACATGTTCAACAGAATTTGTATTTGACGACAACATTCAACAAATTAGAAAAAACTAAAATAAAAAATTATAACAATATATACAGATTAAATAATTTAAACTAGCACATTTATATTACAATATTTGTTGCTAATTACCAAGTTTATCTTGATATGTGATAAATATAGTCACAATTTAATTTGAAAATATATTTACTGAAAGTTAAAATAAATTAAATCTATAATTTAAAGTAAATAATTGGCAACTTTGAATATTACAAATTATGTGATAGTTGAGAAATTTACAACAATTGTAGATTTTTATATATATATATATATATACACACACACACACACAATCTCTATCAGTGGGTACTCTAGATCATCAATGTTTGTCAGGCTCATTACAATCTTTAACAAAATATACTATTGGTATAAGTTGGATGCTAAAATGATTACTCTAACTAAAATATGTAATTTTAAAAAATATCTCACCAGGTATTTTTTTTTTTTTTATCTAAAGTGTGCTTGTATATATATCTATGTGTTAGTGTGTTTATGCATCTCTCTGTCTGAATTTTTAGCTCAATTTAATGTACATTTTTGGGTCAGTAATCATGGCTGCTGACTGATATCATATTTCCTCAACACTACCCTAATCACACTTCTCACCCTAACCCTCCAGTTGACACTTTGATTTTCACTTACTTGAGATTGGGCTAAAATTGAATTTGCCTTTTTTTCACTTGATACATTGTGCTAAATTGCTTATATTGTATGGAATAAATTATTTAAAATGCACATTTGAAAGCAATATCCTTATCAGATCCAACAACCAGAAAGTATTTTTGTTTATTTATATTCTGTGGACCATTGGTGTCTAGTCTGTTGGATTTTAAATCAGTCAACTGAGTAGATCTGTTTTTTGTTTTTTTTTTCTTTACAAGCTTGTATACCACATTGTGCTCCTATTGCATGCAATGATCAGTGATGTTTTGTATGTTCCTGGTCTTAAGTATATTGCTAAATTGTGAGATTAGTACAGTCCCAATGCATTTTCTTCTTAGTGAGTTCTTTTCTTCTGATCAAACTGGTATTTATTAAATCAAAATTGTGGTTTTATATATATATATATATATATATATATATATGAATCTCCAAATGAATAGAAAGAACAGATTTAGATTCCACAGTTCTCGAGTATTTACTTTTCTTTTCTTTTTTTTGTTCTTTTTTTTTTTTTTAAGTGCTCAATGCTAACATAGAGCATAACATCTTAATATATATTAAAATAAATATATAAAATGTGCTTTTTTTGTGTGTGTGGGAGGTATCACTTTAACTATAAATGTTACTTTTGTAATAAAATTTGAACTTTATAATAAGTATGTTTGTTGTAGTATAAATTTAAGATCTGATAATCGCAATAGATTTATTGAGCATGTGACCCTACCAAGAATTTTGATGCAAAACTCTAGAGTTGGTCTGTCAGATTGGTCCATTGAACTATTATTGAAATATCAGATTGGTCCATTGAACTGTTATTGAAATGTCTGTATGAATTTATTAATAAAATTAAGTTAGATATTATAAGTTTTAATTGTTAAAAATATTTTCACAATATCTTTGTTTATATTATGTTGACTAGTTTTAAAACTGACCTTAACACCATTTGATATATTAGATTTTTTTTTTTATTAAAGGGAGATAAATTACAAGTTAACATTTGTATATGAAAACTTCTGTAATAATGTTGTTATTTCTAATGCATCATTTAATATTATTAAATCATATAAACAGACATTCCTGGAATCATATGGAATAGTAGTTTTAAAAAGGCTCAATCAGCTTAAATATTTTTAAATAAACTTTTTCTTTTCTTTTTTCTTTTTTTTTTTCTTTTTTTTAGATTTCCAAAGATACCACTTCATTGTTGATTGAAGTTACCAGTTCACGTAGCTTACATATTTGTAAGGAAGTGATGGATACTTTACTTCAGGAAATGTTGAATATGGGAATTGGTGAAAGATTAAGTGGTAAGAAAGCAGAAACTCCTGGAAGCGAACCTGAAGAATCAAATACAAATGATAAATACAAAATTACAGTCCAACAAGTCAATGTAATAAACCAGGACAATTCATTACGGGTTGTGTATCCTTCACGTACTGATCTAAATTCTGACTTGATACAAGTTACATATGATTGTGATGAGTAAAAAGGAAATTATAACCTTGTTTATGCAACTGCTGCCGTAATTCATGGTAATGTTGTTGGTTTTTTTTTTTTTGTTTTTTGTTTTTTTTTTTTAAATTTACACCAAATTTCTGGCAATTAAGTACCTCTTTTAGCTTGAATAAAGATGGTATAAAAGGAACACAGGAAAGTGAATGTGTCAGATAACACTGTTAATTCTACATTTTTGTTGACCATTTTGTTTTTAGTTTTATTTTGCTAACATTTGACCCTGGCAATGGCTTACAGAGGATATGCAAATATTAATGGTGGTATAAAGTTTAAACACCTATCTATATCCATTTAACAGAAGGTTAAATCATTAAAAACTTATATTAAAAAATTTTCTTTTCTTTTTTTTTTTTTTTTTTTTTTTTTTTTTTTTTTTTTTTGTAATCCTAATCTGTGGTGATGAAAAACTAAATCAATGATTTGTTGTTATTATTGAAATATTAATTCATCTTCAATTGTCTAGCAAGATCTGCTTGGGCTATGAAATTAATGATGAGAGAAAATCTGTAGTGTACTAGACATGCTCATTTATTTGCCTATATCTTTAGATCCACTGATCTTTATTCTACAGTTGAAGCAGTCATACTTTGTGATACCATATTGCAAAAAAAAAAAAATTATGATCTGATAAGTTTTAACTCAACATAATTGGATTTATAACATTTCAACTTGTGAACTCTGGGGCCCTTATTAAATTGTAGTGTTCATTTAATAATGTAGCATTTTTACCAGGCCCACCTATCAGAATATCTGTTTATATCTCGTACTAACCTATAGGCATTCTACTAATAAAATTTATTAATCATTAATTTAAATGATTATTTACCTTCTCTTTCAATAGCTTATTGGCAAGCAAAAAACAGGGTCTGTATTTTAAGTCATAATGATAGTTTTAGATCTGTTTTTTTTTTTTTTTTTTTTTTTTAACATGCTTGCTGAAAGGTATCTATAGTCATCTAAACTCTTCATTGGATGATCATACCACTGTTTTTTTTTTGTTTGTTTTTTACTTGCTAAGCATTTATATATCCCTCATTAAGCTAAGTATTTGACAAAGTGCTTTTTAAAACATGATATTGGATGGGGATGTACTACATTGGCATTGTATAAAAATAAATGATGCTGCTGATGGTTCAAAGTCCTTGACTCAGTATTTTATCTTAATATTTAATATGCCAAATGTTTTTTTGTCTTACTTTTTTTATGTAACAGTTATCTCCTTCTCAGTAACATTTTATTTATGTAAAAGACACGTTGAAAACCTAATGGTGATTTAACAAAAATATACATTTGATTTTTGACAACACAGATAAACTAGTTTAACTATAAGTATTTATGCAAATATTCAGAAGGAATTAATGAGTTAAGACGTAAAAAATAATGGAATTCAGAAGGAGTTAATGAGTTAAGACATAAAAAATAATGGAATTCAGAAGGAGTTAATGAGTTAATTGTTTACTATTTTATATCCAGAATATAAACAAAGCAGATATGGGCTTTGAGATATCTGAAAGAGTTATACATTTCTTCATAGGGTAATTGAAATTTGCTTGAATGGGAAAGTTTTCCATGGCTGATTTGTCTAAAGCACACCAGATGCTGGTTTTCCCTATAATGATGATGCACATATGAAAGCATGCGTTATTAATGCTCTTTAAAGCCCTGTTTGGTAGACAAATTTACACTGTTTAAAAGAAAGTAGAAAAAAAAGAACGAGGATGTCTGCTTATCATAAAATAAATAATTTTCTGATTCTTACAAAAGATTACTTGTGTACTTAGTTCAAGTGTCATTTTATATTCAACTTTTAGTACAGTAATAAACTCCAATAAGTTTAGTAAACATCTATATTATAAATACATAAATAAATGGTAATAGATGCCAGTAAGTTTAGTAAACATCTATATTATAAAGTACTTGTACAATTATAAATTTTCATAATTTCATACTATATAGTAGAAAATCAATATGAAAATTAATACTTGAAATAATTTGTTACATTTTTAAACTTATTCTATCTTAATATGTACAGTTTATTTAGAAACTAAATAAATACTAAGCTGTACCATCTTATTGAAACACTGTATCACCTAACATTCCTCAGTGTTCATTTTATTACATGAAGTAATGTTAATTTCTCAGCCTAACCCACATTATTAAATCAAACCAAATGACTTTCTTCCTTTTCACATTCTCCTTTTAATTGATACAATTCTAGGTGAATTTTATGATTTACTGGAATATACATCATCAACTACTTTCTAAATGATTGTCTGAGGCTTTAAACTGATGTTATAAAAAAGATTTCTACTGTTTTGTAACCTCAGTTACTACTCTTTAAAAATAATAGACTGCTGGGTAGGGTTTATGCAACAGTTAAGATAAGTTTGTGCTGGTGTTTTACATAAATAAAATGCCATTACAGGGATAACTAGTATGTTTTTTTTTTACATAAATAAAACTTATCGTCAAGTTAAAAACTTTCCAAAATCCTTCTGGTGTGTACAAAATAAAAATTTGCCTGAGCACAAGATCTTTGTAATAGTTCTGTATAGTTTAATATTAAAGTCATACATTTGATTATATAGTAATATATCAATAGCTAATGCTGTTAAAGTTTGTACAGCATTTTGGTCCAGAACATCTAACATGTCTGTGTCTTTTGCAATGAAAATGCTTTATTTTATTGCACAGGTTCTTTAAATAACTAGGAAACTTTGTGGCAAAATATTCAGCCATAACAATACTGACCTCTACAGAAAAAAAATGAAACCTATAACTAAAATTTATGGTCAGTTACATGCAGCAAAATTATAAGCCTATTTTATGTAGAAATATTGGTGCATTATGATCTTCCAATTGGAGAGGTACTGCTTGCCTTAAAAATTAGTTCTGGGTTTTCGACACTGATTAGTAATGTTCTTTTGCCAATGCCTAGCTCCCTTAACATGTCAGTTCGTTCAAAAAAAAAAAAATTATACTTAAAATTGCACTTAAAATGTAAAGACAGATTTTTTTTTTTGTAAAGACTGAAACAGCAAGAATTACTGTTGAAGGGAAGTTTCAAAATATTACTACTGTCTCAAGTTCATTGACTTGATTATATTATTTGGACTAATATCTTCACTAATTTTTCTTTTTTTGAATTCTTAAACCTTCCTCAACATGCTAGCTGCTTTATAGATCAAAGTTTACCCTGAATGTCTCTCTTATATTGTGACAAAGATAATAGTTCCCTTTTTCATACCTAGAATCCTTAAATTAAAATTTTAAGATTTTGGAAAAATATTTCTTTTTTACTTCTCAGAAATCTGAACATTGTTTTTTTTTTTTTTTTTTTTTTTTTTTATCTATTTAGGAAGTAGGTGATGCATAGAAACTTAAATCCAATTTATCAAATATTTTAACCCAGTTAAAAAAAAAAAAAATGGTACACCCACTTAGGTATACATGGTATAACATACGTATACTGCTAAGGGTTAATATTAGAAAATTAATCTAAAATATAACTTTGCAGAAAACTGTCCCCCATCTCGGATAAAAATATAAAATGGATTCACACTGAAAAGTATGTGTAAATTAAGTTGATCTTTTAGAGTTTGTCAATAAAAAGTAGAATTGAAACTCCTTATTAGTACTGAATAGAACAATATTTAATTATTAAAGCATTCGATATAAAAATATTGTTTTATTGTATTATATACAAGGAGGGATCTATATGTCTGTCACCAACTTAATTTTGATAGAAAAAAATTTACTTGTATATGTTAGATTTAAAAGGTCTATAGATAAGTAAAGAAAGAGATTATATAAAAAATAAACTTAGATAAAAGAAATATTTATCTTCATTAAGCTAAACATTGAGATATCCATATTTGATGTATAATGATCAATATTTACCATGGTGCATTAACAGATTGTTTTAAAATAAATATCCAAGTGTTTTTTTTTTGTTTTTTTTTGTTATTATAAACTTTATATATAATCAAGCATGAAACTTTATTTCTAGAATTTGTTGGAAAGATTTGGGTCCTAACACATTCACTGCCACTTTGGATATTTGCAATATACAGTACAACCAAAATAAGAATATCTGTTCAGTGCCACAAGACAGAAACTAAGTCTGATATTACAGTTACTATTTATATTACTATAAAACTGGGGAATGGACATGTGTGTCAGGGAACATGCTACATGACACATCATGTGGCAGTGAATGTTAAGAATCAGATAAACTGTAGAATACATTGGCTAAAACATACTAGTGAAAACAATAAAAAATAATAAAGTAATAGTCAGATTAATTTATGAAATAATTAAAAAAACCTTCAGAAAAAAAGTTATTTGATATCAGTATTCTTAGAAAACTAGGTTTTGAAACCCCAAAGTTTTGTCATATGGCATCATTCAAAAGTTGACTGGCTAAACTTTTTTTTTTTTTTTTTTTAATGAAAAACTTTTATTCAATTCTACAATTATTAATATTTCTCCATCTGTCTGTAGAAACTGAAGCAGTAAACACATTTTATGCTTAATATCAGTCAGAAGTATTTTTCTTTACAGTTGTTTTTTAAAAAAATTTTACCTATTTTTCAGGTCTTCATTGCTTTTTATTATTAATAATACATACATTTTCAATATATGATGTGCTGAAAAAGTTATCAGCCTGACCAATGAAAATGATTTAAAAGCCATAAAATGTACATGCATTTCCATATATTCAGCTATTTACAATTTCTCTACTTTATTTATCTCTTCCTTTAAAAAAAAAAGAAAAAATATTAAAATCTGACCAGATAGTGATCATGATCAATCCCTTGACCACTTCAAACTTCAGTTGGACCTGAGGACAGAAAAAACAAGCTTTTGATTCTTTTTTCCTCATAATCCTTTCAATGGGTTTTAAGATAGCTTAGCGACACCCATCTCCTCTCCAAGCTCTTGACTGACATTTGAAAACCACAGAATATA